CAAAGGCAAACCGTGCATTTAATGGCATGGCCAGTTGACCCCGAGTGTGTAGGAAAACAACTCCTTTCTTCCCAAGGAAGTCTGTGGCTTAGGTCTAAAATGTTGTGACTATTATGCCTACTCTTTCAGCCACGGTCTCTTCTCTGAGGCCAAGTTCAGTGAAACAGAAGTACGGACTGAAGAGCCCAGGGCTGCTGAGGCTGTAAGCAGCGCTGTCACCTCGGCACTTCCTCCCGCGGGGCAGCAACTACAGGAACAGCCGGGAGCTGCCGGCCCTGGGAGAACAGTGCACAGGGCGGCAGGGAGGGGAGAACATTCTGAGATGAAAGACTGCAGTTCAGGGCCTGGACAATAGCACAAGGTTCGCATGGCCCCAGTTCACAGAAAATGAAGGAAAAGCCATAAAGATTTATAAGACAAACTTTTTTTTTTAACAGCTTTATTGGAGTATAATTGCTTTACGATGGTGTGTTAGTTTCTGCTTTATAACAAAGTGAATCAGTTATACATATACATATGTTCCCATATCTCTTCCCTCTTGCGTCTCCCTCCCACCCTCCCTATCCCACCCCTCTAGGTGGTCACAAAGCACCGAGCTGATATCCCTGTGCTATGCAGCTGCTTCCCACTAGCTATCTATTTTACGTTTGGTAGTGTATATATGTCCATGCCACTCTCTCACTTTGTCACAGCTTACCTTTCCCCCTCCCCATATCCTCAAGTCCATTCTCTAGTAGGTCTGTGTCTTTATTCCCATCATTAGAAGCTTCACCAAGCAAACCCACTGGAGTGGGTGTGAAAATACCATTATCTTCCAAATAAACTAAATGCAGCCTGACATCAGCACACGGCAGCCAGACCCTCTGTGCTGCTCTTCTGAATGTATCTGTAGGTCATAAATCACCCTCCTAACAGCCAGCCCCAGGGCAGTGGCCCGCACCAACTTTGCCGAACTTGAACCTTGGCATACCTCCTCCAGAGGGGCGTCAAGTGGGGCCTGTAAAACATTCGGACTCTTACCTAGTAAAATTGACAGAAGTGTTTTTTCCTTGAATGGAAGTGACCACCTGAGAGGAACTGTAGCAAGTGAGAACTGTCTATCCTGTGAGGTGAGTGGGAACAGCAACCCTTCAGCCAACCACCTCTGTCCTCTGCATGGCGGCAGAGCCGCACGAGTGACAGAGCGCTGGCAAGCCCACCCCACCCCTCAGGAAGCATTCCCAGAAGGAAGGACAAGAAGCAGGGCAACAGGCTTTAAAAATACACTCCCGTGGCCCTCAAAACGTGACCGTCCCCTCAGGGAGCGAGCTAAAGATCTGGCTTCGCTGCCTCGCTGGCTGCCCTCTACCCACACCTCGGCCCAGGCAAGGGAAGGACTCAGGCCAGGAGTGTCTGCAGCATTTACCTTCCCAGTGTCCTCTCTGGGTCTCTGGGTCTCAGGAAGTGGTTCCTGTCAGCCCCAGGGGTGCTGGGCTCTTCACTGTCCTTCACAGGAAACTCTAGCTTCCTCAGCCTTTGGGCCACCACTAGAGACACAGACAGCAGACTGTAACTGTCCCAACCAGGCCACATCCCCCTAAGCCCACCTGCGATGCCTCAGGTGTTCCAGCCCTGCAGTGGGGAAGCACGTGGGTCTCTGTGCAGAGAGAGCTGGTTCACCCCAGGACCTGACTGAAGGCGCCTTTTCCTCGAGAGCCATGGAAAGTGCTACCCCGCAGGGCTGCTGGTACTGGCTGGGTGATCCCCCAGGTCTGGGTCACTGATAGCCTACAGAGCCCCAGACAGACAGAAAAGACCTGACTCCTTTCAGAACTGATGACATCAGTTTGAGACAACAACTCTGAATAAAGAAATGACTTGGCTTCTCTACCCAATGAGTAATTAAACTCTCTTCATCCTCCAGAAGATTTCCATCTCAACTGAACATTATATAATTTCCTGGAAACAGCAGGCTCGTGGAGGCAAACGGGGAATAGTGAGACTATTCTAGGTACAAAAAAAAAGACTGGAGACATGTGAGTGAACAGGAGAGAGGAGCAAGGAACTGGATGGAAACAGGAATATGAGAGAATCAGAGAGAAACAATTACATAACATCAGAGGACAAGCGCTCCATTGTTCAACCAAGAACGAGGTGACAGCTCTTTCTCCCTCCAGTTTACATCCAGTCAGTGCAGAAAGGAGGCTTTAAGACAAGAATGCCAGGAGGAAAAAAAAAGGGTCAGAGGAATTTAAGTGAAAGGCAAGAAACGAGCACCGGATTTGTTTGGCCACCCTGCCCTGCCATCCCCAGAGGCAAGGGACCAATGTGATTTCCACAGGAAAGATTTTTAACTCCATAACAATACAGCGATTAATAAAATTGCAACAAGCCGGCATTACCACAGCCTAACCACTGGGTCAGGAATGACACATCTGATTCCCCTGGAGGTCCACTCAAGTATCTTGGATGCTTGGATAAGACAGCTCAAAGGTCAGACTGCTGTCTCTGTTGAGTCAAGACAAGCTGTCCAGCAAAGACCCCCAGGGCCTAGGATCACTGTGGCCAAGCTGTGATATTTCTGTGAGCTGAGGGCTATTATATCAACAAAGTCTCGTTAGAAACCATATATTAACCTGTTTCTTCTTATGAAACAGAATGCACTTCGGGTTCCTATCTTCATGGCAGCACAGGCAGACAAACAAGATCTGGTCTGTTAAACCTGTGAGGGCTAAACCCCATAAATATTGTAGAAAGAAACAGTTAAGGTGAATTCCACTACTGATGAGAATTTCATTGACATATGTTGTATATATCTCTGCTTCACTTTCCTAGTCAATCAAACAACTGCTGTAAACTGCCTAGGATGGATAAGTATGGCAGTGCTTAGTCCAGGCATTGTACAATCCAAGTGGAACGGGGACTGGAGAAGGGCCACAAAAAGCTCGTTTCTTAAAAGCAGTGAAATTCCTTCATTGTGTCGACAGGGTAATGAGAAGCAGTTTGGATGACTTGTTCACACAAAACACACCAGAGCACGTTTTAGAAATTAACTGAACATATTTTTATTGAGCACCTACTATGTACACCAGACACTGATCTAGGTGCTGGTGCTACAGATACAGCTGAAGACAAAATAGACAAAAATCCCAGCCCTTGCAGAGCTCCTGGAGCTTACATTCCAGTGAAATCAAGACAAGAAAACTAATCCATGGAGAAAATGACAAAGTTATGAGCCAAAGAACAATTCTTCTGAGGAGTAACAAAAGGGATTCCCTATTGTTTAAGTCAGAAAGAAACAATGAAGTCCCTCTGGAGTCACCCAAAAAGATAGGGCCCTGCTGAGCTCCCTGACCCAGCCTGAGAAAGCAAGGGCTTGCTGTCTACCCTTTACCACAGTTTTAGGGTAGAGGTCACTGCACAGAGCTCCCCAGGGGATCCACTAGGCCATTTAAAAGTCTATCCCAAAACCAATGGCATTTCCAACCAGAGGAAAGCAATGGTTGTGCAAATTTGTTTCAATCAAGACAACAGTCTCTCAAATATGAAATTCAATGAAGACAAACAAAACCTGCAGATAATAAAAAAACAAAAAGAACCATGAACCTAAAATTGTTTACAGCATAATAGTTTAAGACGTTAAAATGAGAAGGTAGAAGAGATTATTGCCCAGGAAAGTATTTAATCCTTAGCCCAAAAGTAATAAAATAGAAACATACTATAAACTAGCTTGGCAGTTTTAAATGCAGGCAGGTAATTCTGGTTTTAAAAGTTCTGTTTTTCCAAGGTAAGACAAACTTGAAAGTATTTGGTCCAACTTGGTTTTATGAAATGGTTTAATGTACAAAGTTTTCTAGGAGTCTTTGGACCTTCACAAAACAGAACAGGGCTCGCTGGGTTTAAGAGACTGTGAATGAAAGAAAACAGTCTGAAAACCAAAACGGAAACAAGCAAACTACATAGTGAGATGCACTGAGAGAAAAATAAGCTACAATAAAACCTCATTAATTAAAAATGCATAGGGGGGCTTCCCTGGTGGCGCAGTGCTTGAGAGTCCGCCTGCCGATGCAGGAGACGCGGG